ACTTCAACGACTGCCAGGTCATGAACGAAGAGTTTGAACTCTTTACCATGGTTCATTGATGCAGATGGCATTTGTCTCGCACACCGCCCCCGCCTCTACTGGATCACCTGGGAACTCCAGGAGGGCGAAGGAGTCGAGATTCTCTGGGGTTCAGGGGAAAGACTCCCCCTCCAAGGGCAAGTGAACTTGAAGACCACCGTCGAGGAGAAGAACTTCTTGGAGAAGGGATGGTGGAGAACCTCCCAAAAGCCACTGCCTACGGTCACTGCCGCGCGGCCGAGCTCAAAGCCTTTAAGGCGACCAGCTGGACTTCGAGATTGCAGTGAACAAGAAGTACAGAGATGGAAGGATCACTTTCACAGGTTTCCACCTTACCAGTATATGGACCAGCACTGCCTACAAGATGCGCAAGGGAGTCTGAGGACTCCTAACATCAGAGAAAGGGAGGCAATCATGGGATTCCCTCCCAACTACACACTCCAATGCATGAAGAAGGAGTACCATGGGACGGTAGCCCATGAAGATTGCAGACTCAGCTTGGTGGGCAACTCGTGGGCGGTGGGAGTTGTGGCGTGGCTGCTACAGCAGCTACTGGGGCCCTTAGGGGTAACATCTCCTACCTCCTTGTCGGACATCATGACCGAGCTCACCCCCGGAAAATCACCTCATCTGCAAACTTTGCTTTTGCGGCCACCGTTCGGACAGGCCAACAAGACTTTCTCTCCCAGTGATCATCTGGCAGCAAAGCTTGCTGGATTGGTCTCCATCAAGGGAGAAGATCTGATGTTGCAGAGCGTGTCAGAAGTTCCGGTGAAGCACCACCGACTCAGGACGGGCATTCCAGGACGGTTGTGGAGATGGAAACCAGTTTCAGGATGGAAGTGGAAAGGTGACGAGGAACACATCAACGTGCTAGAAGCTCGAGCAGTGCTTACTACGTTGAAGTGGCGAGTGTTGCAGCACAAACAACTCAACATCAGGTGCGTCCACCTAGTGGACAGCCTGGTAGTGCTCCACGCTTTGACCAGGGGAAGATCATCTTCAAGGAAAATGAGGCATACCATCATGCGGATCAACTCCTACATACTTGCTAGCGGGCTTCGCCCCATTTGGGGTTACATCAATACCAAGGATAACCCAGCCGATAAACCATCGCGCTGGGGAACCCGTAAGAAATGGGTAAAAAAGTAACCTCCTGTCTGGGAGCCAGCAGCAAGGAAACTAGGAAAAAGATCCGCCAAAAACTAGGTAGCCTCAAAAGCCTCACAGTGCAAGACAAAACAAAGCAGCGCTACAAGGCCGCCCTTGCCGAGTTCTTCAAGTATCTACGTCAAGAAAACCTTGAACTTCCTACGCGACAGGATGCCATGGATGGGATGGTATCAGACTATCTTGAATACCTGTGGGCCCAAGGGGAGGGACGTGCTACTGCAAGCACCTTCATGGCTGCGTTGCAGGATCATTTACCGAAGTTAAAGCACAACCTCCCAGCCTCTTGGCGTCTCATGAAGACGTGGTCAGTGCATGAAATCCCAGCACGAGCTCCTCCAATGACTGAGGCCGTTTTACGAGCCATGGTAGGGTGGTCTGTCACCCAAGGCCATGAAACTCTTGGCCTTAGTTTATTGGTTGGATTTTATGGTCTTTTATGAACTGGAGAATTGTTAGCTCTACAAGCTTGGCAGATCCATATGGTCTCAGCCAACCAACCAGCGGTTATCAACCTTGGTCTGACCAAGGCGGGTAAACGACAAGGTGCAGCTGAATCCATTACTTTAACTGAAAAGCACGTGCTTCAGCACTTGTGGGTATGGAAACAGCGTGTCCCTGAACACACGTTTCTGACTTTAAAACCCCACGCCTGGCGAAATCTTTTTGCGGATTGTATCCGTAAACTCAAGTTAGAAGCATGGGAATTTCGCCCCTACTCACTCAGAAGAGGTGGGGCAACCCACCTGTTCGTCAAGGGAGGTTCCCTTGATCGGGTCATCTTAGCGGGAAGATGGACCGCTCTGAAGACCGCCAAAATTTATATTAACTCTGGTCTAGCAATGCTGACTGATATTCAAATTCCCAAAACCCTATTGACTCCGTTTCACTGTATTTTTCTTTCATGGAATTCAAAGCCCTCGCTTGAGCAAGTTCTCGTGGAGAACAGGGCCGGGGGACGTGGAAAGAGCGCCAAGCGCGCCAAAAGACCAAGGGAGGGGGGAAGCTTTTTCTTGGTTGATTCGAAAATTTTCTGAATGTTGGTGATTGTCTGTGTCTAGTGCCTGAGTGTTTGCGGTGTTGCGTGAAGCTCAGGGGACACGGGGGGTATTTCTCCTCCGGGTGTGGCGGGGGGAGAAATACTTGTGCCCCTTTTATGAAGGTAGCGGGTATTGCCTTCTTTTTTCGGCAATCACAGTTTTGAATTTCTCATTTAAACTTTTTCAATTTTGACTAAACTGGTTTGCAACGCACGTAAAAGATGGTGTTGTGAGTGTTTATATATATATATATGTGATATATTATATATGTACATAGTTATATATATTTATTTAACATAGACCCGGGCAAGCCGGCGGCGGAAGTTTCCCAAACATAAATGACCTATAGTTCAAAGACAACCTGTCCCGACCGTGTCCTTCCCTCGACACTCCACACCTCACACTGCACACTGCACTCTTCGCACTCCACACTTCACACTCCACACTTCACACTCCACACTTCTCACTTCTCACTGTTCATTTCACACTCCAAACCTCACACTTCACACTTCACACTGCGCTCTTCGCACTCCAAACTTAAACTTCACACTCCACACTTCACACTTCACATTCCACACTTCACACTTCTCACTTCCCACTGCTTCCTTCACACTTCACACTTCACACTGCACCTCTTCACGCCCCACACTTCACACTGCTCTAAACCTACGTGAAACAAAAAAAACACTAATGCGATCTAATGCGACAAAATGGAGAAAATCTGCTGACCAATCACTGTCGCAGCCTTCATGCAGCCACTCCAAGACGATTTCCGAGATCCAGCTGCAAAAGACAATAGTATTACGAATGCAGCCACAGCACGAAGCAACCTTGACGCAGCCATTACAATGCGATCTGCAGAGACTGAGTTGCAAAACACAATAGAACTACGCGCAACGGCGTCGGAAATTGTAGCTCCAAAACCGGATCTCGACGCCAGAGCGAAAAAAAGACGATTTTGAAGCACTTTTTTAAAAGGATTTTTAGAAGGAAAATCACTAGCGCCAAAATGGAGAAAATCTGCTGACAAATCACTGTCGCAGCCTTCATGCAGCCACTCCAATACGATTTACGAGATCCAGCTGCAAAAGACAATAGTATTACCAATGCAGCCACAGCACGAAGCAACCTTGACACAGCCATTTACACTGCGGGAACGATCCTACAGTTGCAAAGCACAATGGAATTCCATCGGCAACTCATCCACCAGCAACACTTGCAATCCCATTTACATTGCGGGAACGATCCTAGAGTTGCAAATCACAATGGAATTCCATCGGCAACTCATCCACCAGCACCACTTGCAATCCGATTTACAATGCGGGAACGATCCTACAGTTGCAAATCACAATGGAATTCTGTCGACCGCACATGCACGAAAAACAGGTGAAACCCCATTTACAATGCGGAACCGATCCGAGAATGATCCGCCCATGATCCGAACATGATCCGAACATGATCCGACCACACACGAGACCGTCTCGCAACCGTCGCACAGCAGAGGTAGATCATGGAGGTTCGGAGACGGACTTTGTATGGAAAAACATAGGGTTTCGTGCATCTGCTATCTCTCAAAAACGCATTTCGTGCGAGACTTCCTTCAAAACTCCATCGGCAACTCCTCCACCATCGGCAACTCATCCACCAGCACCACTTGCAACCCCATTTACAATGCGGGAACGATCCTACAGTTGCAAATCACAATGGAATTCTGTCGACCGCACATGCACGAAAAACAGTTGAAACCCCATTAATTTACAATGCGGAACCGATCCGAGCATGATCCGAACATGATCCGAACATGACCCGACCACACACGAGACCGTCTCGCAACCGTCGCACCACAGAGGTAGATCATGGAGGTTCGGAGACGGACTTTGTATGGAAAAACATAGGGTTTCGTGCATCTGCTATCTCTCAAAAACGCATTTCGTGCGAGACTTCCTTCAAAACTCCATCGGCAACTCCTCCACCAGCACCACTTGCAATGCCATTCTAACTCTTTCTTTGACTAGCTCTTTCCCTGACAGTCTAAAAGTTACAATTAACTCTGTCCCTAACTAACTCTTTCCCTCACTAACTCTTTCTTTGACTAAATCTTTCCCTGATGAACTCTTTCCCTAACTAACTCTTTCCCTCACTAACTCTTTCTTTGACTAAATCTTTCCCTGATGAACTCTTTCCCTAACTAACTCTTTCCCTCACTAACTCTTTCTTTGACTAACTCTTTCCCTGATGAACTCTTTCCCTAACTAACTCTTTCCCTCACTAACTCTTTCTTTGACTGACTCTTTCCCTGATGAACTCTTTCCCTAACTAACCTTTCCCTGACTAACTCTTTCTTTGACTAACTCTTTCCCTGACATTCTAAAAGTCCGTAACACGGAAGTTTCTCCCCCTAAACTTCCTTTGATTATTGTATGTATATTTGTAAACATACACGTACATAATAAGAATATGTGTAATTATTCGTAATTCGTACACATGTATGTGTTTGTGTATGTATGTGTGTCGTACTCTAGATTGCAATATACTTTGTCCTAGCAAAAGGAAATGCAATGAAAGGCAATGGATGAATGAATAGGCATATGTAACATGTATGTATATACTTATGTGTATATGCTTGTGTATATATACGTATGTATGCATATATATATAACAGTATTGTGTTTTGTATGGTGGCTGACGCTTCCAACCCATGAATGTCAAAATAGGTCATGTTCGATCCATGGAATCCATGGCCTGCCGTAGGTCAAAGGCGAGCAGTATTCCGACACAAAGTCGGCAAACTCTAGCACGTGATTCCCTAGGGCAGGCACAACTGCCCCAGTTGGAGGGTGCGGTGCCTTAGTTTTTGCGCTGCAAAACTGTGGAAAAACCTTGGGCAGTTGAGTGCTTTGGCTGTTTTTGCCAGTGGGGAAATACACAAACATAAATTAAGATTGAAAGATGCGAACCGCCAAACAAATACAGGGTATCTAAGTTTCCATGGTGTAGGTTCCTATCAAAATCTAGCAAGCTGGGGCGTTAACTTGAATCCGCTCGGACTCTGGCATCACATAACATTGAGCTAGCAGCTGTTCGTTTCTTCATTGTGAATACCCCAAGACTCATCAGAACTGCCACGCTTGGACGTCACTTTGCAGTGAAAGTTTCAAATTCCCGTTTGCCAACATGTTTGCAACATTTGGAATACAGTAATTAATAAAAGACACTTTTGAAACCAGCACCATCTCACCTTGGCCGGTTCCTGCCTTGGTCAGGAGGTCGTACTGCGAGACGCACGAATTATCCCATTCGAAACATGGACTTGCGAATGGCCTGGCAGGAATATGCCAAGGAAACGCTCCACCAGGACGCGAAACGGTGATTAGCTTTTCATAGTCATGGTATGTCATGTTGCTCCAACCTGCTATATATGTTATATATAGTACCTATTCCATTCTTATTCCACATGGGGCTGCATAGATGTTGATTTGACTTCAATCTTCGTACTTCGCAACTGTTTACCCTTGAAGTACGGGGGATGTTGGGAGCAACCCTGTTTGGTTTAGTACCGTTATATATTATGCAAACAAACTTGGTAATTATATATATATATTTTTTTTACTTCACCACACCAGATAAAGTCGGGATGTAGAGTATTAGTTGGAAGTTGGAGATCAACTTGCAAATTAACACATGAAACTAAGAACCTTTCTATTTCGGCAAGTATCTCAGATTGGCCGTGGTTGAAGGGTTGCGACGGAGCCAAATATCAAATAGTGGTTAGGTCAATGAAGATTGGGACAATGAGGTTCTCCAAAAAAAACATGGAAATTGTTACAGAGCTGTTATTCCCCACCTGGCAGTGAGGGTCTCTAGATTTTAACAATATTTTAACCAAGGTGCAACTCCTCATCCTCCGCCTCCTTCTCCGTCACCCCTCCTCGCTCCCTCCTTCTGCCAGCTTGTTGTCACTGTGGGCACCAATGGACCTTGATTTCACAGCAAGTGCCAGCTCAAGTGTGCTGTAGCAATTTTGCTCCAGAAGCTCATGCTGCACAGCAGTTCGGGCATGCACGGACCCGAAGCCTATCGCAAGCTCCACGGCAGTCTGGGCATGCACGGGCCCGAACCCTGTGGTGAGCTCCAAATCAGTTTGGGCACATGCAGGCCCGAACACATGCCAGAAAGAATTGTCAGAATGAATGCCAGATGGATGTGAAATAATATGTCAATTAGAATGCCAGATAGACTGATGAGTGTCAGAATGAATGCAAGATGGAGTGCTAGATAGGATGCCAGATGAAATGTGAGTATGTCCGTTAGAATGCCAGATAGAATGTCAGAATATATGTCATGCAGATAGATAGAATGTCAGTTGGCGGAGATCACTCGAAGAAAGTAGTTTCTTTACGGAAAAACTGGGAATGTTTGGGGTCTGAACTGTAGAGTTCAGAGGTGCTCCAGTTTGAATCATAGGAACAGATAGGAATGCAAAGCCTCTCTTCTCAGGTCACTATGATCCTGGCTCCACTAAGGCTTTAAAAATTACTAACCTTCCACTTGCATTGTTCTTCACCCAACAAATTCAAAGACCCCGGCCTTCCAGATTAGGAGGTTCACGTTTGGGACTTGATACTCACATTCGCGTGGCTGTGTGGCCAGTGGTTACAGTGGTTACAGATGTTGTGCTGCAGGAGCTCTCCGAAGTGGGCACAGATGGCGACGTACAACAAGTGAGCCTTGACTGGATTGGGCACTGTGCAACAGGGTTGCTCCCAGGGTTGCTCCCAACAAAAAAATGTCAGCGGGCAAATGGTTTAATAAAGAGGCAAAATCACTTGTTTTTTCCCTTGTGGCTATCATGGCTAGTGGCCAGCGTCTACCTACAATCGGCAGGAGCAACTCTGTGAAACTTCGTAAGGTTAAGCTGTTTTGGTTCATTGGTTGATTGACTGGTGCTTGATTGATGTCAACGTGCTTCACTTGATGAATTTTGGCCATTTTCATTGAATTTCATTTTGTGAGCCTGGAAGACTGGAACCCGCAGGAAATTCATAGAAGCCCTGTGGAACCTGCAGGCAATTCGCGGAACACCCTGCGGAACCCCGTTTATTTATTTATTAGTTTTTTTGTGTGTGTGTGTGTCAAGCCCTGTCTACTAAGGGCAAAGAACGTTGTGAGATGTTCAGTTTTGTGTTTCTTACTTAAGCAGGGGGCCGCAGGCCTGTCTTTGAGGCTGCGGCCAACGAAGACCGTCATTGACAGGTGTGTAAACGTACCTGCTAGGGATGCTCCTGGGCGCAATGGTCGCAGCTGGGGGTCCCACATGAATCCACCTTTAAATTATTTTAAATTCATGTAATGTTTGGGAATGATTAAAGAGATGGTACCCTATTGTGAGAAATTTCTTGCTCCTAATTCAGTCACATGCTACTTGTTGGGGGGAACTCTATTGTGAGATTTTTTTTCAGATTTTTTCATTTTTTTAAAATTTTTTATTTTGTTCAATTATTTTTTTTATTTTATTTTTTAATTTTTATTTTTTCAATTTTAGATTTTTTCCAGATTATTTCATTTTTTTCTTATTTTTTTTTTAAATTTTTATTTTTTCAATTTTAGATTTTTCCAGATTTTTTCCAAATAATTAGATGCCTTATTAAACCCTTATTAAAAAACAGCACTCAGACAATTTTTCAAGGGGGTACCTCATGAGTGGCTCAGTTACTCAATAATATAATTGTTTGGATGGTACTCTATTGTGAGCACCAACTTTTGGGAGTGAAAAAAAAAAACCTTTCTCCACCTTTCTTTGGGTAAAGCTGGTGCCTTTACTTTAGAAAGCCATATTTATGCTAAAGCTTTAAAATGCAAGGTTTTCCAAATAATTAGATGCCTTATTAAACCCTTATTTAAAAACAGCACTCAGACAATTTTTCAAGGGGGTACCTCATGAGTGGCTCAGTTACTCAATAATATAATTGTTTGGATGGTACTCTATTGTGAGCACCAACTTTTGGGAGTGATAAAAAAAAACAAAACCCTTTCTCCACCTTTCTTTGAGTAAATCTGGTGCCTTTACTTTAGAAAGCCATATTTATGTTAAAGCTTTAAAAAGCAAGGTTTTCCAAATAATTAGATGCCTTATTAAACCCTTATTAAAAAACAGCACCAGACAATTTTTCAAGGGGGTACCTCATGAGTGGCTCAGTTACTCAATAATATAATTGTTTGGATGGTACTCTATTGTGAGCACCAACTTTTGGGAGTGAAAAAAAAAACAAAACCCTTTCTCCACATTTCTTTGGGTAAAGCTGGTGCCTTTCACTTTAGAAAGCCATATTTATGTTAAAGCTTTAAAATGCAAGGTTTTCCAAATAATTAGATGCCTTATTAAACCCTTATTAAAAAACAGCACTCAGACAATTTTTCAAGGGGGTACCTCATGAGTGGCTCAGTTACTCAATAATATAATTGTTTGGATGGTACTCTATTGTGAGCACCAACTTTTGGGAGTGAAAAAAAAAACCTTTCTCCACCTTTCTTTGGGTAAAGCTGGTGCCTTTACTTTAGAAAGCCATATTTATGCTAAAGCTTTAAAATGCAAGGTTTTCCAAATAATTAGATGCCTTATTAAACCCTTATTAAAAAACAGCACCAGACAATTTTTCAAGGGGGTACCTCATGAGTGGCTCAGTTACTCAATAATATAATTGTTTGGATGGTACTCTATTGTGAGCACCAACTTTTTGGAGTGAAAAAAAAACAAAACCCTTTCTCCACCTTTCTTTGGGTAAAGCTGGTCCTTTACTTTAGAAAGCCATATTTATGTTAAAGCTTTAAAATGCAAGGTTTTCCAAATAATTAGATGCCTTATTAAACCCTTATTAAAAAACAGCACTCAGACAATTTTTCAAGGGGGTACCTCATGAGTGGCTCAGTTACTCAATAATATAATTGTTTGGATGGTACTCTATTGTGAGCACCAACTTTTGGGAGTGATAAAAAAAAACAAAACCCTTTCTCCACCTTTCTTTGAGTAAATCTGGTGCCTTTACTTTAGAAAGCCATATTTATGTTAAAGCTTTAAAAAGCAAGGTTTTCCAAATAATTAGATGCCTTATTAAACCCTTATTAAAAAACAGCACTCAGACAATTTTTCAAGGGGGTACCTCATGAGTGGCTCAGTTACTCAATAATATAATTGTTTGGATGGTACTCTATTGTGAGCACCAACTTTTGGGAGTGAAAAAAAAAACAAAACCCTTTCTCCACCTTTGGGTAAAGCTGGTGCCTTTACTTTAGAAAGCCATATTTGTGTTAAAGCTTTAAAATGCAAGGTTTTCCAAATAATTAGATGCCTTATTAAACCCTTATTTAAAAACAGCACCCAGACAATTTTTCAAGGGGGTACCTCATGAGTGGCTCAGTTACTCAATAATATAATTGTTTGGATGGTACCCTATTGTGAGCACCAACTTTTGGGAGTGAAAAAAAAAACAAAACCCTTTCTCCACCTTTCTTTGGGTAAAGCTGGTCCTTTTACTTTAGAAAGCCATATTTATGTTAAAGCTTTAAAATGCAAGGTTTTCCAAGTAAAATCAATTGAAAGTAAATTGAAATCAATTGAAAGTAAATTAAAAGTAAATTGAAATCAATTGAAAGTAAATTGAACGTAAATTAAAAGTAAATTAAAAGTAAATTGAAAGTAAATTGAAAGTAAATTGGAAGTAAATTGAAATCAATTGAAAGTAAATTAAAAGTAAATTGAAATCAATTGAAAGTAAATTGAAATCAATTGAAAGTAAATTGAAATCAATTGAAATCAATTGAAAGTAAATTAATTAATTAAAAGTAAATTGAAATCAATTGAAAATAAATTGAAATCAATTGAAAGTAAATTGAAATCCTTTCTTAAGTTGATTGACCAAAAAAATGTTGAGGGGGGGCAAAAAAAAAGTGCGAGTTATAGAGTATCCTCAAATTGTTTGGGGGGGGGGCCCCTCACACTAATCAGACGCAAACATTATCAATGTTGGTTTATCAGGACGTTGGGCACATGATGCCCACGTATGGTTTTTCAAGACTTGCAGATTGAGACTTGATGACGCAGTAGGCGACCTCCTCACCAGTTGGGGACAGATGCAAGTGTGTTTCGGCCAGATACTGTCAAAGAGCTGGTCGTGACCGGAGGCGCCCGGCTGTTTCCATCGGTTGTTCTCCGGTATTTCGAGTTCATAGTGATTGGATCCGGTTCACTCCGGGTTTTTATTGCAGCAGGTCTGAAATCTTCATCCAACGCTATCTTTCAACGCAAAACAGTCTCCACCAGTTGAACACTGCGTTCACTGGTTTAAGATACTGAGAGTTGATGGTCAACAAGATACAGGAAAGTTCAGGTCTACGTGACGTCCTTGAACCTGTATTCAGCAATACAAACTCAGACAAACCAACCAGCGACTTTTTCTCTTTTGTGACATGAGTCCAGTTCACCATTTTTCTTGGAATCCGCTTTTGCGAGGGACATTTTTTCTGAATCTTGCAATGTGGAAATGTGAGGCCCAGCATTGATGCTGGCTCATGACATCATTGTTTTTTTTCTGAAGCACACGCGTACGGGGAAACTGTTTTTATTCAGTGCGCCACCCCACATACAATGAATGGTTTTGATTCTGGTGGAAACAACCGTTAATTCTTCCACTTGATCATTGACGTCATTCAATCTTGCTGTTTTCCCACTGCAGCAATCTGTGTTTTTCAAAAATAACTTTGGAGCTGCAATCAGGAGACATCAGCCACACAAGAGTCAACACTAGTCCAACCAATGGTCTTGACGGTTTAAAACCTACGTTCAATGGTTTTGCTTGTGCTTGGCACACGTTTTCGTAATTTCCAAGTGCAGCCATGTCAAACTACCACTTCTATTTCGGAGGTGGTTTTCAAGTTGGTACTGGATCCTCACAGACAGCAGGCCAGAGGTCCAGGGATCCTGGACACAGAGAGATTGCAGACAGCCCACAGCCCAGACATGTTTCACCTGATTCTTCACATAGAAAACGTCCTGCAGTTGAACTTCTCAGCAAACAAGAAGCAAAATCTAGGAGGTCAAAACGGTTCAGAGAGGCGAGCTCAAAATCCCGCTCCTTGTCATCGGATGATCACATCCAACCTGTGCTACACGCACCGTCCTGTAAACTACCACCGCGTCCTAGTTCACCTCCTCCAGGGTTTGTTGGCTTGTATTCACATCATCCACACACATCAGCCCAATCCAGCAATCAGCCGCATGATGGAGCGCCTAACGCGGGGGTCAGGTGGCTCACACCCCCGGGCCCACATGCGTACGCCGCAACACCAACAACAACCACATTGCTTTCCACTGTTGCAACACCAGCAGAAGGTTGCAATACATACGCTTCTCCAGGCCCGCTCATGTTCCAAAACAGCAAACCGATCCATATGTCTACACGCAAGCAACAACAAAAGCAGCTCCGCCACTTCCGGGGCAACTAGCAACCAGATTTGCACCGGGTCATTGGGGCACACCAGCTCAGATGTTGGAGTCACTTCAACAAACAACTGACACTGCTGTCGAAACTCTTCGTCGCAAATTGCAAGGCCGAAGCAGTGCAGGTCGCCAACGGCAGGTTACTCCTGCGCACAATGCGCCGTTACCATCGCCGCCGCCACCACCAGCCATTCCTATTCCAACAGCAACAGCAACGCAATCAACACCGCTCACAACACAGCTAACAGCTCACACAATTGCCAACCAACAACACTCATCAGCAGTGCTTGCTTCATCGTATGCACCGCAACAATTCTTACCACAGCGACTTAGGGTTTCTCAACAAGAAATTCCACCGTTGCAGCAAACAGCCAGCATTTTGGGTTTTGATGGGCAGACCGGTGCACCCAACACACAAATTTTTGGAACAGGGCCGGCAATCCGAAATTGGCAAATGATGGAGCAAGTTCCTTTGGTCGATGCTGAACAAGTTGCCATTTATGAGGCACATCGTGATGAATTTCAAAGTTGGCCAAGCAAGCTCACTTTTTTGGCTCCTCCACAAGATGAACGGAGGCCGATGATAAATTCACTGTTTCAACTCTACACACAAGCACGAATTCCAAACCTTCCTGAATTCGAGAACAAATATGCTGCTGCTCTTTTTTGTTCTGTGGCCAAGAATCTTAGTGACATTGTGGAGCGAGTAGAGTTCAAAGTTTCTGAAACATGAGCTATGTGGACCTTTCATCTCTGTAAAGACACACCGCCGACAATGAACACGGTTTGGCGTTATTCGTATCCTTTCCTTCATGGAACTGAGACTGTTAGTTTGTGGCGGGTGATATCTGAAAAGAACATCAAACCTGCATTGTCGGATGTAGATGCAGTCGGGTTTTATTGCCGGGTAGCGGTGTCGGACAATGATTGGGATATAAAACATGCTGTTCATCGAGTCCGTGGAAAATGGGCGACGCCTGCAATTATCGGCGGGACCGTCGAATTACTTTACAACACGCCACCATGAATTCTGGTTGGGGATCGGAAGCTCAAGACCTTTGTAGATTGCGAGGGGTGGTTCACATGCGCTGTGGCAAGAAATGGATTGTAAGAAGTGACCTTGCGCAAATCAATTGTCTCATCATTCCTTTTTGACGCAGAAAGCTCCAGTTTCTGATATGGATGCCGGAGGCAATAGGAGCTTTGGCAGTAATTTCAATCAACTTTTGGCAGGTCGGGTGTGAAACACCAAATCAGATCCGGTAGCTCTTTCCCTGTGGTATGTGCAAAACAGTGCATGTTCTCGCTGTGCCCCTTGAAGGTTTTCACCACGATGATGATGATAATGATGATGATGGTGTCTAATGATGACTGATCATTAGAGGGAAGGACTGGTAACCAATGTGCTGTGCATTTTCTGGCAAGAACTCAGTTTGCTGTCCACCTTCTTGTTTGGTTTTTCCTGCACAATCATTTCTTTAATTCATGGCAAACTTGTCATTGACACCGATACATACATAGATTGATTGCAACCTTGGGCCAACGGAGTTTTTTGGTATGTGCAAAAATGGTTACGTCAGTACATTCTGGAGCACAAGTCCTGGTGTATTCCTTTTCACCTTCCTTCTGGTAGTATTCAGAGTGCGCATTCTAGTTTTCATCAGCTTCTGTGGAACCACAAAAAATTTCAACCTGTGTGTCGTCGCGTTCAAATTCGCAATCATTTTTCGGGTCTCCCCACGACTAGTGGCCATGTTTTTGCTTCCGCAGAACAAATTGCAGCGCAGATTCCAGATGACTTGGGGGTTCACCTTTTGTACAACAGTCGAACTCCAGTTTTTCCTAATCAAGAGTAATATTTCCAAAAGACATAAAAGACAGAGCAGCAGTCCAGTCGTTGGTCAAAGCGACACGGGCTCCCCCTCCATTGGGTTTCGGAATTCCGTGTTTTTGTCAGTTCGCAGTGGCAATTGCACCTGGCACATGTAGAGCGGACTCGACACCGCGGCGAATCTAGCAGTTTGCTGAATATGAAGAGAGCGATGTTTTTGAAAAAACACGTGTTGAAAGATTTTGTGATACATTGCCAAGATCACCAGCCAGGTCATTTCATGATGTTTTGTCCATGTCTTTAGAACTTGCAACGTGCCGGATATCTTTGAACAAGTGGAAGCTTCGACCGAGTTTCACAGACAAACAACGCTGCAGGCAATTCCAGCCTGGGTGCGCAAAGAGTACCAGTGGGGACTTGATACTTCAGCCTCACTTCCATATGGACATGTGCTATTAAAGCGCAAAAAACAGTTTCTTGTCGGACGAACCATCGTCGCATACCGTGGCACAATTCTTGCAAAGCTACTTACCGGCGCGGCTTTGGTGTTGAAACAGCTTCTTACCACTGTTTGGGGTTTAGCTTTGGGGGCAGCGCTACGCCCATCATGTGGCGGAAGATCCACAAAGTTTGTGCTGAAACACCCATCCAGGAATCATTGTTTTTTCACAACGACGATTTTGTCGGCTTTTTCAACAGTATTCCACAAGGACGGTTGCTTGCCATGGTAGAGGCTATGTTGTGTGAATTTCAATCGAAGCATCCTGCTCCTTGTGTCATGGTGGATGTGCACGGCTCCATCAAGACTTCTGCTGTTCATTTGGGATTTTCAAAGCAAAGTTCACATGCTAACTTCAAGCGACTTTGGTTAGAACATCTGGTGCCGCTGGTGCAGCTTTCTTGTGAGTGTGGTCGGTTTACTGCAGTTGGCAATACATACCGACAAATTCGTGGAACATGTATGGGAAACCAAATTAGCCCAATCCTCTCTAAAATAGCTGTCGCGGCTGTTGAAGTAGCATGGTCAAGGGCATGGTCCTCTCATTTTGTGGGACACAGGATTTTTGTGGATTTTTCACTGTTGGCGATATGTAGACAACAGGGTTTTATTGATGTCGCAATTGAGCAAAGCACACAGTGCAGTTCAATCCTTTTTGCATTCGGATTTTTACGGACCTCCTGTTCAACTTGAATTGGTGGAAGATAACCGTTTTCTGGGTTTTGACGTGGTGCCAGAGTCCAGGCAAATCAAGTATATCCTTCCATTATGTAGATTCTTATGGGAGCTGTTTGTCTTCTTATATCTCATCTTTTCCGCCTATTTAGTGGCAAATAGTGGCTTAGAGCTTGTCGCAGCTATGTTTCGGCATACGGCCCGGGCATGTGGAAATCTAGGTTTCAAGATCCAAATTGGTAAGTATAGCATGAGGATACCACGCAATTTGTTTCTATATTTCTTTGAGGGGGACAGACCTTATGTCTGGAGAAATAGCAGCCAAAGACAAGACAATCACTTCAAATGATTTGTAGAGATTGCCATGGCCATGGTTCATGGCGAAATCGGATTTGGTGGAACAAGCCTGCAAATTGGAGGCGGACTTGAAATCGTTTCTGGAGACCTTGTCTTCCTCAGAAAACGATTTGAGAGAAGTGCTGGCATCTGCCGCCGAAGCATTAGATATATAAACGTTTTGATTTGAAAGTCCACAGATATCACGGGCGTAAATCGAAGAGGTCGACTCAAATCTCGAATCCCAGACGCCTGCAAGTTTCGAGATTTTTTCTGAAATAAAGCAATCAAATTACAGAAGCAATTGCAGTTGCACCATGGGGCGAAAGAACATGGCAGGATCCAAAGAATGTGGCTGATATGGACTGGGCTCAGCGATCCTCACACTGCAACACGTTGTTTGGCAGATTTTTGCAGAGACTTTCGCTGCGTAGAGATGTCCACTATCAGTCACAGTTCGGTGGCTGCTGCCAGAGATTGTTTTTGTGAACTTATCAAAAGAGCACCCGGCTCAGCGGTTGCAAAAGCTACAGAAGTTTTGCCTGCTGGGAGCGACGATTCTTCCCAGCCAATTTTACTTGCTCACATTCACGATGAAGCGTCTTTGCGGTTGAGATCTTTCGATTCTGCTTTGGGCGAACGCATCATCATCATCATCATCATCATCATCATTCCTACTATGTTTTCACGTTCTCCCTAGTAGATGCTCCTTTTCTAAGCCTAACCTGCTCCTCGTTATATTTGTGATGTGTGGGAATTTCCATGAGCGCTCCCGCTGGCGCAGGAGTGAGTACCATCGAACTGTCCCTTGGTGTCCATCGCCAACGTGAGCCAGGTGGTGCGTCGTCGCGGGGGTCCGGCCCGACAGAAGTCTCACCTCCAGTTCCTGCAGCGCCTGTAGAAGAGCACGTGGTGTCCAAACCCCCATTGTTCCCGACAGAAGTCTCCAAGTGCTCGTGTGCTTCAGGAAAGGCCTTCCGACCCAGAGGGCGATGCTGCTACGGCGGAACACATTGCCGGAGATCGCAGTGGGCACTGCCGGACCTCAACCGCAACTTCCAGATCGCAGTGGGCACTGCCGGACCTCAACGGGAAGAATGTGAGAAAAGATGTCAGATAGAATGTCAGAAGATATGCCAGAAAGAATGTTCTGAATGCCACAAGATATGCCAGAAAGAATATCAGAATATATGCCAGATAGAGTGCCAGAAAGAATGTCAGAAGATATGCCAGATAGAATGCCAGAAAGAATGTCAGAAAGAATGTCAGAAGATATGCCAGATAGAATGTCAGAAGATATGCCAGATAGAATGTCAGAAAGAATGTCAGAAGATATGCCAGAAAGAATGTCATAAGATATGCCAGAAAGAATGTTCTGAATGCCACAAGATATGCCAGAAAGAATATCAGAATATATGCCAGATAGAGTGCCAGAAAGAATGTCAGAAGATATGCCAGATAGAATGCCAGAAAGAATGTCAGAAAGAATGTCAGAAGATATGCCAGATAGAATGTCAGAAGATATGCCAGATAGAATGTCAGATAGAATGTCAGAAGATATGCCAGAAGATATGCCAGAAGATATGCCAGATACAAGCGCTAGCGTTAAGTCGTATCAGCTTGTAAAAGTCGTATCGGGAGGCCGTGCTCCTGGAAAAAGTTCAATTTGGGCATCACCACAACTTTTAGTAATTGAACGATTTCATTGTTTTGGGGCCGTGCGGCTGGAAAAAGTTCATTTTTTTTATTGCGTTGATTTTGAAAAAATATATATATTTGATCATCCTTTCAAGGGGGCAAACGCTGGTTGCTGCTTGCCTGCTGCTTGCCTGCTGCTTCCCTGCTGCTTGCCTGCTGCTTCCCTGCTGCTTGCCTGCTACTTGCGGCTGCTTGCTGCTGCTTGCTGCTGCTTACCTGTTGCTGCTCACCTGCTGCTGCTGCTTGCTTGCTGCTCCATGCTGCTGCTTGCTGCTTGCCTGCTGCTGCTTGCCTGCTGCTGTTGCTTGCCTGTTGCTGCTTGCCTGCTGCTGCTTGCCTGCTGCTGCTTGCCTGCTGCTGCTTGCTGCTGCTGTCTCCTGCTGCTGCTGCTGCTGCTTGCCTGCTGCTGCTGCTGCTTCCTCCTCCTGCTTCCTCCTCCTGCTGCTTTGTGCTGCTGCCTGCTTCTGCTTGCCTGCTGCTGCTGCTTGCCTGCTGCTTCTTGCCTGTTGCTGCTTGCCTGCTGCTGCTGCTTGCCTGCTGCTGCCTCCTGCTGCTGCTCCTGCTGCTGCTGCTGCTGCCTGCTGCTTGCCTGCTGCTGCTGCTGCTGCTGCTTCCTCCTGCTGCTGCTGCTTCCTCCTCCTGCTGCTGCTTCCTTCTGTTGCTGCTGCTGCTGCTTCCGCCTGCTGCTGCTTCCTCCTCCTGCTGCTGCTGCTTCCTGCGGAAAACAAGGGGCCCCCATATCCTTTTATCATCCTAGATCACAGCCCTGCCAATAGGATTTGCTACAGCTAACCCACTTGCACTGCAAGAAATTTGAGGCTGTACCAATAGGGGTTTGATTTGATCACACGACGCAGGACATCAATATAATATATTCAAATACAATAGGATTAGCTGCCGAGAATTTGTTTGTATTAACTTGTGCCCTTCAAAATCATCGCTGTGCGCAATGCTTCGGCTACTTTTAACTACATCTCCAAGTATAGATGAAACAGGCTGTGCCATGGTGATTCTTCTTCCCTGATGTGACTTTCCGCTACCTGATGTGACTTCTCCGTATCGCCGCCGTGCCATGGGGATGATGTGACTTTTCCCGCCTGATGTGACTTAAGTACGGTGCTTGTAGAATGTTAGAGGATATGCCAGATAGAATGCCAGAAGGTATGCCAGATAGAATGCCAGATAAAATGTCAGATAGAATGCCAGAAGATTTGCCAGTAACAAAATGTATAAATGTCATGGTGGGGATCACGCGAAGTAAAGTAATTTTTATATCAGCATTTGCGAGGAGATGTAGAACCCTGCGTCCTGGTGGCAAAAGCGTGGTTGATGGAACAGATGACTTACAAGCTCAACATGAAAGAGAACTCTGTGGACATGCCTGACAAGCTTCTCGAAGATGCGAATTTGAAGACCCGGTTGTGCTCCATGGCTTGAGCTATTGGAAACGCAGCTGCGGTGAAAGGCAAAGAGAAAGTTGGAAAGGCCAGATCCCTGATTGCTGAGGCGCGCTTGCTTTATCTTAAAATGGTTCATTTTTTCAGAACATTCCCGCGGATGCAGTAAAAGGCCAAACGTTGTGGATTTGGATGTATGTAAATTTTTGAACGCTTGTGTTTGGATTCGGCGCAGGCTTTGCAAGAAGGAAAGACATTGGCAGCTGAGAAAGAAAGCAAGCAAAGAGAGCTTGCTGAAAAGAAAAGGCGGAGGCAACGCAAACCGCCCAGAAGCCTGACACAGATGCGGCCAAAGATTCTGCTGTGGCAGTGGAGCTGCTGGTGGGAGACCTTGTGATCACCAAATCCTCGAAAAAGAAGGCCAAGTATGACAACCAGAGCGGTGAGGTCATCTCCGTTTCGAAAAATCACATCAAGGTGCTCCTCAAAACCGGAGATTCTGCAGGAGAACACCACAGATTTGAAAAAGCCAACGTGGTCAAAAAAGAAAACAAACCAGTTGTGAAGCGCCCGCTTCAGAGCGAAGTGTCAGATGCCGATGCCAAACGCCAGAAAGCAGCTGAGCTCTTTGGAGCTGATAAGCTGGATGACATTAAGTGACAGCAGAACGGTGCCGCGAAAAAAAGACCTGTTGCTGTGGAGCTGGCAGATTCTTTTTGATAATATTTGATACCTGAATATTTTTGGATGCTAGATATCCCTACTTGAAACCTCTGGAGCCGCTAATCAACCACTAATAAAAACAATTATGATTGTGAGAACCTCCCAACTTTTTACACATAACTTCCAGAAGAACGATGGCAAATTCGGAACCCGTCCAGCTCTTGTTCACTGAATTTGTTAATGTCGGGATTGCGTAGTCGTCTCGCTCTCATCATCAAGTATACTTTCCCCTGTTTTGACATTGTTCCAATGACGCTGCAGTTGTGCAATTTCTTTGAGAAGCATGGCTATGACCAGAATGAGATTGAACATGTCAGACGTACTGCAATTTGTTCTTTGGGACGTCAAGTCGTTCATCAATGTACCAAAGCAGCACCATGCCTTCTATGTCAATGAAAAAGGAGCGACCTTGTAAGGAAATTGTATGTGTCAAACCCTGTCTACTAAGGGCAAAGAACGCTGTGAGATGTTCAGTTTTGTGTTTCTTACTTAAGCAGGGGGCCGCAGGCCTGTCTTTGAGGCTGCGGCCAACGAAGACCGTCATTGACAGGTATGTAAACGCACCTGCTAGGGATGCTCCTGGGCGCAATGGTCGCAGCTGGGGGTCCCACACGAATCCACCTTTAAATTATTTTAAATTCATGTATCAATGTTGGTTTATCAGGACGTTGGGCACATGATGCCCACGTATGGTTTTTCAAGACTTGCAGAATGAGACTTGATGACGCAGTAGGCGACCTCCTCACCAGTTGGGGACGGATACAAGTGTGTGTGTGGGTGCGTTCTCTTTACCAGCGCTGTTGAAGACAATCCACAATGAAAAACATTTAGTCATATTTGTTGAACTGTTTTGAAGGTCACTGGTTTTATTTATTTCGTTGGCAACCTCCACAAAACAAAACAGCATTAATCGGTTATCACTATTTATAGTTTGGTAGGATTTTACCTCTACCGTATATGTTTTGGTGTTTTTATATGCTTGTGTTTTCTAGTGTTTTTGCCAACAATGCCAACAGTTGGCCCGTTCAAACCGGGTGTTTTTCGCCAAGGATGCGGATGATGCATCGAAATCGATGCGATTACATTTGGGAGCTGTTGGATGACCCACAATCGAGCAGGCCAACTGTTGTCGCTGGTTGGGATACTGTTACAGACTCAACAGACGAGCTGGGGCCCCAGTTCGTTATCCAAGTTGGCTTACAACTATGATGAGGTTTGTGAAATTTGTGGTATGGTTAGTATGGTTATAACTTTATAACTTACGACTCTAGTTGGGTGGACTTATGAAATTATAAACAACATTATAACTTATAACTTATAACTAGGGGGCCAACTTGTAGCATAGCTCTGAGTGCCACATGTCGAGCCAAGTCACTCAGGTGAGACCCTATTATACTGATGTGACTTGGGTAATTCATGGCATTTGGTATAATTTTCACCATGTGCTTATGTGCCCTTTATCCTTTAACCTGTTGCATGTGTTTCTACCAAAATAGGGACATATCTGCTTACCAGCTCAAAGAATGGTTCATGAGGTTGGCCAGGTTTATATGTACTCATTCTGGATGGTCATGCTAAACTGTGCCAGGTATGCCTGGTGGTTGTCGCAGTTCTTTTCCATGTTCGTCATTGCATCCTGGACGTCAAAAATGCTGGGGCCGCCGATCCACCTTTTTCTTGAGTGCTAGAAATAGAAGAGGCTAGGAGCCCTGAGGGTTTCCAGGGGTTTGCACTGCTAGCAGACATGGGTTGGTATGACTTCCAGCCACAGGGCTTTGATTATGTCAAGGAAGGAAATCAAAGAGTACTTAAAGAAAACTCAATGCTGCAACTTGCAACGCAGTTTGTTTTAGAATGTGTACGAATTTGTTGTTTCTTGTTAAGGACCTCCACGAAAGCCTTCGAAGTGCATGTTGTCAGTGGATCGTAGTGGATCTAGAAAATTAATTAAACATGAAATATATATACGTACCTTGAGAACCAAAACCCGCAGAAATCCTAGGGTCTCAAATATAACCTGGGTTTTCCGACAAAACCCAAGGTATTTTTACCAATTCTTTAAGTACGGGTTCGGTACGGGTTAGGTACGGGTTAAGTACGGGTTAGCTATACGTGTTCAAAATCAATACCCGAGGTCTTCAATCGAAAACCGAGGTTTTCGTATTTTTCCGAAATACCTCAGGTTCTTGTGTTGACCCGAGGAATTCTTAGGGTTTTGGTTCTCAAGGTAGACGTTATACCGTATACATCTAATTTTAAGACGTGCAGGCTGTAGATTTATCATGATTTATCGCACATTTATTCGGTTGATGATTTGTTGAATCGTGAAACTCTTCATTTACAGCGCAAGCACTGTATAGTCTGTATAGTAACATGTTGTTTCAGAAATTAAAAGGTTCTGATTTGAAATTAAAGACATCATTAAGAATTGAGAGTCTGGCCGGCTTTAAAAAAAGTTGGGAATTAGCATAGATTCTCCCAAAAATGGGTGGCCCAGCATGGGCCATCCACAACACATGCAGCTGGTCACCCAGGGCAGCATGCTCTTGTCGCTGCTGGAAGCATCTGAAGAGGACCCTGGAAGCATACCCGTGCGCTTAGCCCTGTTTGACTAACTTGCATCCTTGGAGGTTTTTTTGGTGGTAATCGTTGAGCCTCGACAAGAGATTCTTGGGTAATAGTTGAGCCTCAAACATAACACCATGGTTGATTGGTTACTATGTGGGGTTATTATCACATGTGATTTATTGGGGGTCATAATTCACCTCTACGTCAGCTGGACTGTAGCACTTCAAGGACCCAAAACCATGGAGCTGGGAGAATCTGCAGGAGCCATTGATCGATGCCAACACCGCTGCATGGATGTGGCTTTGCTTGGATTCATTCTTCCTACTGGAGCCTTGGTGGCAGGACAGAAGTGGGATTGGAAGCGGATCGGAGAAACTTGGGAATAATATACGAAGCATGTACTAATAACTAATATACCACAGCCTCAATTGTTGAACCTGGAACTTTTGCTACTGTCAACAGGTCTGGACATGAGTTGGCAGGAAGATTTGGTTGAAGGATGTCGGAGAGAGATGGGAAGAGCATTTGCCCAATCAAAAAATGCATTGAGTTGCCAGGCATGTGCTAATGTTTGATCCCTGTAGCATTTGTAGCGCTATTCTGAGGTAAGTGTTTTCGGAAACTGATTTGGAAAGACGGCAGCAAGGATGGTCTCCACCACTACGACGCCACCGGCACAACTACAACTACAAGTACACACGCAACTACAGCAATGACCACAGCAACAACCATAGCAACAACCACAGCAACATCCACAACACCGCAGAAAGAACAAACATATGAATCGCAACAAAAAAATCAAGGACCAGCTGATGGCGACAGACAAGCCAGAGCAGAAAAGGTTTGGGGAGAAAAAAAGAAAAAGGAGGAAACGCATCCACAGGCACGCTGGCAGCAAGAAAAAACACCACCACCGCCACAACCACCACCACCACCACCACAACAACAACAACAAATAACCACTACAATCAAACCATGTATCCGGTAGCCGCAGTGAGTTCCCTTGCGGATCCTAAGGAATTCTTGTGCCGCATCCTGCAGCTTGGCATGGGTGTTCATTCCGCTTCAGATCTGGGATCCAACGATGTTATATGGCCACTTCTTGCACTTTTCTTGGCCCGTGCTTTACACAATATAATATACATACATATATATATATATACATATATATATCTCTCTCTCTCTCTGTGACATTTTTTGCGTGTAGCAGAATGACAATTTTGTTTTCCTCTGATGCAGTGCGTTTCAGCGAGCTTCAACTGGGAGTTTTGTACAATTGGAAAACCACAGAGTTTCCAAGTATTTCCGAACTACGTGTGCTCAAAAGCAAACATAGGCAGTTCTGGAATTGAACATTTGCTAAATTTACATGTGCAGCCTGTGTAGCACTAGGTAGTTTTCTTTGGCTAAGCACCTGAATAAGCAACCAGTTGAACCATCAATGGAGCTGAACCACTGTACGCTGTGCCATGTACAAAAAGGGGAGACAATTGCATTGACAGTTCTTTTTGACAACACGGACCATCACCCCATGTCGCCCGTTGAGCACCACATGTTCCCGTCGTTTCACTTGTGCAAAGCCGGAGCAGACAGCTGCTGCCGGGCTGCAGCCGATGCTCCAGCGGAAGTGATTCAGTCCGGGCGAGATTTGGAGAGGCCCGCGCCACCAACTGGAGATGACAGAGACGATCCTGAGAATGTGAGAAATGTGAGCCTGGAGATCTCATATTCTGACCAACTGGCCCCGATAGAGGAAGAGCATTCGGGACAGGGATCACCGGGATCACCATTGCCATCAACGAGCTGTCGGAGCGTTGGTTGGAGGAAGATGATGACCATGCGACACATGGAGGTTGACTTTGAAATCCTGCGCGGAATTCCCCTGCATCGCGCACTTCGGCAGCCTGAACTTTGGACGTCTCCGCATGAAATCCGCCGCACCAATCGTGCTGCTCAAGTGTGGGATCGTTCGACCAAGGTATCGAGCTTGGATATCTTCTTGTCACATTCATGGAAATCAAAAGGAAGGTGGAAAGTCCTTGCTTTGATGATGCAAACTGGTTGGCTTCGTGGACTTCTGGGTTGGTCGGTCGGGCTGGCTGTCATGTTGTTTTTACGAGCTTTTGAAATGGTCAGTGACACATGGAAGAACATTGATTTCGTCGTTGCTGGCCGCCACATCACAGCGGATCTGAGCATTTGGACGGTGATTTCTGCCGAAGTTTTTATGGTGCTTGGTTTGTGTCTCTCTCCATACATGCCATTGAAGACACAAATGTGCTTTTTGGATGTGGCATGTATTCACCAGGATCAACCTGACATGTTTGAACGCGGCCTATACAGCATCGGCGGGTGCCTTTCCGTGGCAAAGGAACTTCGGGTTTTGTACTCGCCAGAATATCTATCGAGTCTTTGGTGCTGGTTCGAGCTTGTGGGCTTTCGCAAAGCAAATCCTGAAGGTAAACTTGTCTTTGCACCATTATTCATTGAGCGGTCTGCGGCGATTTGTGCCTTGATAGAATTTTGCTTTGCAATCTTGACAAACGTTATTCTCGGATATGCAGACGACATGAGCACTCGCCAAGCGACTACCATTCTGCTTTATCTCGCACTTTTCTTTCTGCCGATGGTCTTTCTTGTGCATACTATGCGTTGCAACTACCGAGAGAAGGGACGGTTGATATTTGATTTGACGACTTTCGACGTTGACCAGCTGGTTTGCGCGTCTGACTTTGATCGGGCTTTTATTCTCAGTGCAATTTCTGCTTGGTTTGGCAGCAAGGAAGCTCTCAGGGACTTCGTTCGAAGTGCTCTTCGAGATGAACTTCTGGGTTTGCTACCCTCACCTCACCTTCCTTCCGCCTATGCGGCCTTGATACTTTCGAGCGTGTTGGCTTGGAACTGTGACTTGACCCTGAGTATCTACAAAGGCGGTGCAACTTGGGAGGAGCTTCTTCGTTTTATGCTGTTGCTCTTCTCATTTTTTACCAATTGGTTTTGGTGTGCTTTCAATGGCATTTTCTACCTGAGCGACAGAACTTCTTCACCTGGTGGCAATCGGCTGCTTGATTGGTCTAAGACCTTGGCAGTGGCAGGAGTAGTGTTCTTGTGGTCACTGGTGGGCTTCGGTCTTTGTGTGGCACTTGCTCGGTCAACAACAGTGGTTGGCCTTGTTTTCTATGTCATTTTTAGTATGGCGCTTCCCCTCTTCATTTTGGATGCCTTTAAGGAGTGTCGCTTCCCATGCTGCCGGAAGGGCATGAAACGGGAGGCCGACACCACGTGACTGCTGTGCATGACCCTAGCCTCAAACAAAATATGAATCTTTGCCTTTGCATCAAGCTTTGTCCTGGTAATTTACATTCTGCCAGCAAAAGCCCGATCATGCAGGGTCACTGGCAAAGTCCTCTGCAGAAATCGCTCCCTGACTTTAACCAGGTCTGCGCCGTCGAAATGGAGCTATGTTGTGGATTGGCTTAACTGGGCTGATATGCAGCTTGGTGGCAAGGCAGCGCCGTTCGAAGTTGAGAACTACGTTTGTTTTGAGAAAGCTGTTGATCATCGATTTTTCAACAGAACCATAGAACCCATAGGGAACTATATAACCATAAGGATGGGATGGATGAACATAACCCACGAGTCGCCATCCCTCACGCCGAGGATCTCAGCTTTGGGGTTGCCGTTACGTGCCACTGCGGGTTTTTTCCTGCCAGCTTCCTTGTCAACACAAAACAGAAACTTCATTCAATTTGTGGGAAGTGTGTGGGCAGGTGGCGGGATAGCCAAAGTAGTTGAGAATTTGAGATCACCACGCCCTCACGCCAAGAATCCAACGGACTGAAAGTCAATGTCCTCTATCTCTCTCTGCAGTCTTTGGCCTGAAGTCTGCAGAAATTAGTTTCTGTAGACCTTTCTTCGGTAAAGCTGTTTCCCTCACTTTGTGCTCTGATGTGTTGTCTCCAGGCCCACAGCCAGGCTTACATAGAACTACTTAGAACATTGAAAACACGGCCAGTTTCATCTCCTTATTGACTCACTTAGATAGTGATAGTGATTTGGTTTTGATTCTTTCGAAGCAATTTTTAAATTGCTGATTTGGTTCACCATTTGGCTCCACCTGTGCTATGGTCAAAAGTTGTCGAAAGTGCCTTTTCCCGCTCACAACAAAGGAATTAACATGCTGACCCCTATGAAATTGAATCATAAATTTTATATATAATCAAGTATGTATATATATATATATTACATGCAATTAAGTACAATATTAGACGTTTCGACTATTCTGTCAGATCCTTTAGGAAGCCGGTTCTGTTTCGCTCCCTGCCAGCTGACCAAAAAGCACGTCGACATACCTAGAGTCTAGAGTCTAGACAGACTTAAACAAATGTCTACAGTCTACAACATTGACCTCGTAGAGCAGCACTTGGATTCTCTAAGCTGACTTACACTGGGATGGGTCAAATGCCAGTCACTGTCCAAAAATGTTGGTCATTTTCAGCAGAGCTCCGTGAAGATTTTCAGGTTTTTGCACCCCATGTTTGAATTTCTGAACATCTTACATAGGGATTGCACTTTGGTGTGCTTCCGTAGGTCAACCTTGCACAACTACTTCAGCACGTCAATCTTTTATAATTCATTTTGCTATAAATGGGGTCTATACTAAGCCAAAAAAAAACATGCAGGGTATCTCAGATGACAAAATTTCGTTCCGTATTTTTCCCCATCGATGCCTATGAGGTGAGATTGTGATCCTGCTGTTTTTGATCTTGCCCATCATTCGCTTTCTGAAGCTTTTGCGCTACTTTGCCGCTTGACGGTTAAACAGATGCGGCCTTGGGGGCCGAATGGATGATGGAACAAATGCTAGATCTTGGGCCTCCAACCTTTCGCCCCGTCAAGACTATATCTAGAACCTGAAATGCTGGTTCAGGTTGGCTGAAGGATGTTGAAGGGTTGTTTTTTTTCATGTGCAGGGCCGGATTTGGGTTCCATCTCTACAGCTCCAGCTCCACATTCTGAGACTTTTACTTTTCGGGTCCGTTTTTGTGCTCTAAATCCTCGTCCTTCAGGAATCCTTCAGGCTGCTGATTGATGCGGCCCGAAGTTCCGCAGAGGCGTTGCCTGTCCTTTGTCCCTCGGCCTAGGCCTAGCGACAAGAGATTCTGTGATTGCGGCTAGGCCGTAGCAATTGTTGGCCACAAATAGAAGAATTATGAAGAATTAGAAGGATATGATATGAATGGATGATGATGCATTTGTTGCCATATGTATATATATATATACTCCTTTGTCAAAGTAGATGGCTCTGAATCTTGAGTTGAGCCATCTATGTCAAAAAAAATGGGGGATAGATGGCTCAACCCCCTTTAAAACAGGCCAGTTGAGCCATCTATGTCCCAAAAAATTACACATTTTTTGCAATCTTCTGCGCTGGTTTCTCCCCAATTTTTTTCTCAACATCAAGCTGCTTTTTTGGGACATAGATGGCGCAACTCCCGGAGTTGCGCCATCTATGTGGGCATTCCCAGCCTGATTTTGGCGAAATTACGGAAGTTGTTTTGAGCCAGCAAAGGTCGAGACGCTTTAAAACCCAATTTTAACAAGTGACCTGAGGAGCCGTTTTTGCCGTCAAGAAACGGTTCCTCAGGTCACTTGTTAAAATTGGGGTTTAAAGCGTCTCGACCTTTGCTGGCAAAATGACGGAAGTTTGAATGGGATTTAAGGGACATAGATTTAGATGGCGCAACTCAGTTTCAAGGGGTATTGCAATGAAATTTTAAAAACTGTTTTTCCAATATATTTTTGCCATTTTTTGTCAAAATATGTTGCAAAATGATGAAAAATGAGATTTCTATCCTTAAATTCTGTCCACAATCAGTTTTAAAACCTTCAGTGGTTCATTTTTAAGGCGTGGCACTGAAATTTTGAAAGATTTGAATGCGATTTACGGGACGTAGATGGCGCAATTCATTTTTGAACCCCTCGAAAAAAAGATTCTGGCTTTTGAATGGGATTTAAGGGACATAGATGGCGCAACTCATTTTCAAGGTATTGCGATGAAAGTTTAAAAGTGTTTTTTTTCCAATATATTTTTTTGTCAAAATTTGTTGAAAAATGAGATTTCTATCCATAAATTCTGTCCACAATCAGTTTTAAAACCTTCAGTGGTTCATTTTTAAGGCGTGGCACTGAAATTTTGAAAGATTTGAATGCGATTTAAGGGACGTAGATGGCCAATTCATTTTTGAACCCACGGAAAAAATGATTCTGACGTTTGTATGGGATTTAAGGGACATAGATTGCGCAACTCATATTCAAGGTAATGCAATGAAAGTTTAAAAGTGTTTTTTTTCAATATATTTTTGTCAAAATATGTTGAAAAATGAGATTTCTATCCTTAAATTCTGTCCACAATCAGTTTTAAAACCTTCAGTGGTTCATTTTTAAGGCGTGGCACTGAAATTTTGAAAGATTTGAATGAGATTTACGGGACGTAGTTGGCGCAATTCATTTTTGAACCCCTCGAAAAAAAGATTCTGTCGTTTGAATGGGATTTAAGGGACATAGATGGCGCAACTCATTTTCAAGGTATTGCAATGAAAGTTTAAAAGTGTTTTTTTCAAAATATTTTTGTCAAAATATGTTGAAACATGAGATTTCTATCCATAAATTCTGTCCACAATCAGTTCTAAACCTTCAGTGGTTAATTTTAAAGGCTTGGCACTGAAATTTTGAAAGATTTGAATGCGATTTAAGGGACGTAGATGGCGCAATTCATTTTTGAACCCCTCGAAAAAAAGATTCTGGCTTTTGAATGGGATTTAAGGGACATAGATGGCGCAACTCATTTTCAAGGTATTGCAATCGCAATGAAATTTTAAAAGTCTTTTTCCAATATATTTTTTGTCAAAATATGTTGAAACATGAGATTTCTATCCATAAATTCTGTCCACGATCAGTTTTAAAACCTTCAGTGGTTCATTTTTAAGGCGTGGCACTGAAATTTTGAAAGATTTGAATGCGATTTACGGGACGTAGATGGCGCAACTCATTTTATACAATACAAATTTGTGCAATTCCACCGTATATACAAGCAAAAATGATAAACTTAGTTAACAATACCCTTATGTCCATCTACTGGAGTGGCAGTTGCGCCATCGACCTTTTCATTTTAAAGTAGGGCGATTTTTTCTTCAATTGGCGGACCTCGTTTTATGTTCCAGCTAAAATAGCGCCGTTTTCTTTCTCAACCCGCGGTGCCATCTTATGGGTATTTTGGTTTTTGAGTTGAGCCATCTACTTTGACAAAGGTGTATATATATTTATTTGCCGCTATCTATATAATATAGATCGATGCACACAGGGAATTTGTATGTGTTCGTATGTGATGAAAGCCATGGCTTGGGCCAGGCTACACGTTGTTTCAGGTAAAGAATCGCCATCATTCACAGTCCACGATAGAGTGATAGAGGTATAGGATGGTGTCCCATTTCTTGCAAGTCCATCCTCCACCAATAGTCCTCTATACCGTCTATACCCAACAATGGGATGAAGGTAGTGTTACATTTACAGGAAACCCTTATGGTTGCCTTATTTTGTTTCTCACCGCTGCAGCCAGCAGTCTTGACAGATGGCGATGGAAGGAGAGAGACAAGAGAGACACATCTGCCCTTTGCAAGACGGATCTACGTTAGGAATGCCTTCTGCCTAGTGAAACAACACAGGCTCCTGAGATGTCATTTCTGCTGAGGCTACATTATGGCAATTATTACGTTGCTATCGGCAACAGCAATGTATTTGTTTGATCCTTGGCCGATTTCGCGACCAAAGGTGCGACTGGACAGATGAAATGTTGCAAGAACTTGCACAGAGCAAGCTCGCCCTGATTGCAATATTGGTCTGTCCGAACACGATGTAGAAATCTAATGGTTTATCACGAAAGGTACTGCACTGTAGCTCCAGTGGGGGCTAATACCAGTGTTTTTGCCAGGTGCTGTCCACAAAACACTGTAAATACCGTGATTTTTTGCCTGCAAACACATATTTACGGTGTTTTTGGTCCCGAAGGCCTTCAAACATCTGCCAAGCTGACGCCTTTTGGGGCTTTGCGCGCATCACCGCCATCATCAACGACAGGAAAGACAGCAAGCATGAGCTTGTTTTTTGTTGCTTCAGGTTTTTTTGAGATATTGGTGTGGTGGCGCATTTTACACGGAGACGCTTCTACAAACAGACTATGTTACGCACAGCAGCCTTTACACAGAGCAGCTTTTATGCGCACATGCTCTTACACAGAGAGGTTTTTGCACAGAGAAGCTTTTACACACACAGAGGATTTCATGCAAAGAAGCGTTTACGCACAGAAACTTTCACACACCGATGCTTTACACACAGATGCTTCTGCACTCGCAGCATTTACGCACAGACGCCTTTATACACAAACGCTTTTACAGACAGATGCTTTCACACACACACGGAAGTTTTTACACAGAGAAGCCATTGCACAGCACACCTTTTACACAAAGAAGTTTTCCTCCCCCAACCAAAAAACAGGCAAACAGATATTTGAGTTTGTTTTTTTGCGCTGTTTTCTGTCGTTTCCCTTCCACATAATGAGTGCTAACGGATGACACTGGGATATCCACGTCTCTTTCTTTGTCCTTGGATTCATTTTCAGCATTCTATAGATGGCATGACGCCCATGCTCGACCCTCTTCTACAGACAGACGGCCTTTCGCACAGCAGCCTTTTAACATAGCAGCTTTTATGCGCACGTGCTCTTACACTGAGAGGTTTGTGCCTAGAGATGCTTTTCACACAGACGCCTTCACACACAAAGGTGTTTTACGCAAGGACGCTTTTACGCCAGAAGCTTTTAGACACCGACGCTTAACACAAAGATGTTTTCGCACAGCGCGGCATTTACGCACAGATGCCTTAGCACAAACAGGCGCTTTTACACGCAGACGCTTTTACACACAGAAGCTTTTGCACAGAGAAGCCTTTGCACAGAACAGCTTTTACACAAAGAAGTTTTCCTCCCCTCCCCCTTTAAAAAAGGCAAACAGGTATTTGAGTTTGTCTTTGTTTGTTTCTTGATTTCTTGTCGTTTTCAGCAGTCTATCAATGGCATGTTGTCGAGCCTATCAGCATTCGCAGCGTGCACCATGTGGGTTTGGCTAACTCAGCTGGCGTCAGCATTTCAACAGCCAAAAAAAAGGTTGATGTTTGAACTTCTCTTCCTGATCACCTACCTTCGTGTTCCCTTTCCCAAATTGCCATTGTCCATTTCCCGTCTGGAATACAGCATTAGGGTCATGCCCCACTGTGGATCAATATGGATCAACCCACTTTGCCACCAAGGAAGAAAGAAGCAATATACCAACGATCTATCATTCGATGTGGTTGGCCATCGTGACCATGACCACGGTAGGCGGCTCCGTTGTGGATTCTATTACGGGTTCCGTCACTTGGGTGCGAAAGGACCACTTGGGAATGATGTTTTATATTGGATATGTCTACAACATATCTTTACTATATGTTTAAAAACATATACATATATACACATTGTAATCTTTAGTGTGGTTTACAATATTACTTACTACAATATATAATGCATATATAGTATATATATATATGTGTGTGTGTCTCGTCTGATATATAATTTAATAATATCTATTTCTTATATTTCCTATTATTCAATTTGCACCATTGCACCATTTAATATTGATTTTTACTATTTAATTATACACTATATGATTTGGCTTGTAAAGATATTATGATATTTTGAATTTAATATACAGTATACAATGTATAATATTTGACATACAATGTATACTATTTAATATTGATTCATAATGTATACTGTATATCTTTTTCATTTATATAGTATAATTTATGATATGTTTTCTATGTGCATCGATAATGATATTTTTATTTGTACTACTACCTACTACTACTACTACTACTCCTGCTGCTACTACTACTACTACTTCTACTACTACTACTACTACTGCTACTGCTGCTGCTGCTGCTACTGCTTTTACTTCTACTTCTACTTCTTCTTCCTCTTCTTCTTCTTCTACTACTACTTTTAATAATCAGAATGACAATTGTTGTTTTTTATTTTTTTATTTTTAAAGCATATATGTAAATATATATATATATATATTTATATTATATATATTATATGTCGGTAGTTGATAGATCGTACTGATAGACATTCTTGTGTGTATGTATATGCTTTTTAGATATTCATATATATGTATATATTCATGTGTAGGTATTAAAAGGACCTCGACATCAGTGTAAATGATGGATCGGGTAATCTGGGCAACTATCCCAAGATTCTGCGGCTATGGGGCTCCGGGTTTTAGCTTCGGCTCGACCACGGCAGGCTATGGTGATTATTATCCAACCTCCTTGGCTTCTCAGCTTGATGATAGGCTGCATCGCGATGATGGCTGCTCATAGCACCAAATCGCATTCTATGTGCTGTTCCGGCCAATCTAAGTTTAAGTAGAATGAGTATCATTCTAAAGAAGGTCACTAGCGGGTTGAACTTACCTTGCCCAAGGCAATCGAATTTGGCAATATTTGTCAACGGAAATTCCACGAAAATCGCCAATTGATTCAGATTGGCACAGATTTTCTCATCACCTATGGATGTGGAATGATGAGTATTTCCCTTGCCGTGCTTCAGTGCTGGAACTTGATTAATGATATGTTCAGGCATGGGGGTGCGTCGAACTTTGAAGCAAATGCCACAGACATTGGTCATGCTCGATCATGGTTGCCTCCTAGGATGATTTCTGTTGAGTAGCCATGTTGCAAGGCCGCAGCTCACTGGAAGGAGTTTTTAAAATTTGTCCCAGCCTTTGGCAGTCAGACATGGCAATGGAAAAATCCAGCCTATACTTCGATGACTGCTGGCTGAGGCTGGCTATATCATCGCATCCATTCTGACCTTCACCAGTGTTCTCTTCTTGTCCCTACCTGTTGGCATCATCGGCAGCTTGATTTGAGTCCTTGAAGATGTACCCAGTGCACTAGTTATATCAGTATTTTTCTGGAATGTGTAGCGAAGGGTTCTCGTTTTACTTTGGGGGTCTGGTGGTTGAGATGTGTTTGCTGGACGTTGCTTTTATGTCCGCAACCGTTCGCAACCGTTCGCAACCGTCCGCAACCGTTCGCAACCGTCCGCTGCCGTTCGCAACCGTTGGCGAACGACCGCGATGAGGGCACTATGGTATGGCCGTGCCTTTTTGGCGAAAGTGGTCACTTTTAATTATATGGAGGTTTCAAACACCGCGTGACTTTTCGCGTGGCAGGCCTGGCACTTCGTGACATTCCAACATGTTTCATAACGTGTCCAAAGTCGTTCTGTGTGACAGACGCAATACTTTTCCGTGGTTTTCAAAAGCTGAGTTGGATTTTTCGTGGCAGGCGCAGCCCGGCGCAGCACTTTAGAATCCTCCATCGCCATTTTGCAGGCGCAGCACTTCAGACGTGTCGCGTCGCGTGTTTTTTTGGAATATCGCATTGTCAGGCTGCGTCAATTGGTGGCAAAGTGCAAAATGCGTGGCAGGCGTGGCATTTTTAAATGTATTTTGTAAGATGTGATGAAAAACACCGCCGTGCAAAAACGACATTGCAACCTGTTTGACACCATCGAAATGAAATGACAAGTTTTTGCAGCTTTTCCCATATAGACCACAAGAAAACCAAAGAATCGTGACGAGAGATGCTGGAGCCTCAAAACAAGCATTTCGTGCGAGACGTCCTCAAATTTTATCAAATTTTCAAATCAATGTTTTCCTACGAGTTCATTCCTAATAACCCCAAAACCACCAACCTCACAATCGATGTTTCGTGCGAGGCTTCCATCCAATTTTGAGAGTGTCATTTTGCGTGGCAGTCGCAGCATTTGGTGAAGATCCGTCGTGTGTGGAATGCTGTTTTGCGTGGCAAGCGCAGTCAAGAGTGCACGGTGAAGCGTAATCTGTAAAGTGTAGAGTTTGGAGTGTGGGGGGGTGCAGTGTAGAGTGCTGCGTAACATGTAGAGCGTGGAGTGTCAAGAGTAAAGTGTAGAGTGTAGAGTGTAAGAGTGCAACTTGCACGGTGTGGGGTGTAAAGTGTGGAGTGTAGATTGTGACGTGTTTTTTGCGAATTGCATTGTCAGGGCTGCGTGGAGTGGTGACAAATTGCGTGGCAGGTGTGGGACATCGTGAGAATGTCATTTTGCATGGCAGGAGCAGCATTTTCTGAAGCTCAGTCGTGTGTGGAATGCTATTTTGCGTGGCAAGCACAGTCTAGAGTGCACAGTGTAAAGTGTAGAGTGTGGAGTGTAACGTGTAGAGCGTGGAGTGTAAAATGTAGAGTGTGGAGTGTTAAGTGTAAAGTGTAGAGTGCGGAGTGTAAGAGTGTAAAGTGCAAAGTGTGGAGTGTAGAGTGTGGAGTGTAGAGTGTGACGACTGCTGTCTCGGCTGATGCTGTTATGGCTGATACGTTTCATTTATGTGATCTGCATTCCGGTTCGTTTTTTAATTACATGGTTTAGGTGTTATGTTTTAATTGGATAATATTTCTTTTGTAATGACACTTCATGTTGCTAAATATTCAAGTATATAATATTAATCATTATTAATCTATATTATGTTGAAAACATGTAAATTATGCGGAAAGAAACGGGATGATAATCTTGAAGTAGAAATAAGGAATAAGTGTCCTGGTGCATCTTATAAATATACATACGTATATATATATATGTCCATGTGCTATGGCTCTGTTTGTGTGACGAAAATCCTTGCATGACATGTTGGACAAGCTGTGCCCTGCCGTAGAGCCGTAGAGGTTTTGCACTTGCGGCTTCTCCCCACTAGATCTTCGGCCCTTTGGGCCATCTGTTCTGAGGACACGAGTTTACGCGTTCTTGGCAAATACGTGGTCAGGTGCTGCAAAGCGGGCACTAGAAGGAGAGACATAGCCCACAACCCTTACGGATTATCATCACATTGTCCCGTATCGTCCCTATAGATAGGGTTTTCTTTGGTGTATACCGTATACCCTAGTTCTGCACATGGCACATGCCGTATGGTGTTGGCTCGATGATTTGGATTAACGCCAACTTGCTTTTCCTCGACGCAGAGTGTGAAAATTGAATATGCCGACATGTAACTTGCCAATGTCTCCGACGTTCTCTGTTTTATGTTACATTGAAAGAATGAGCAGGGACACTTGATAATTTGTGTATTAAAACAATTGGTGTAGGTAACCCCCAAATAGCAAACATCAATTGCCACTGTTTTGGAATTGGAAGTTATTTACACTTCTTTTTTGGGTGCTATAAACCGACACGCTGGAACCAGTTGCTGTTCGCCAGCTGCAGGTGTTGCTGAAGAACCGCATTCGTCGATGTATGCTGAAGTGGGGCTACAGCTCCAAGGAGACTCAGAGATTTCACGACTGAAGTAGATTGTTACATACTTGTAATGAGGTTTAATCATGTCTGTGTGATTCTGTAATATATATATATATAGATAGATAGATATGTATACATATACATGTTTTATTTTCTTGTTTTCAAATATGAAATTATATAGTTTAAACATGTATAGAGTCTGTCTTGATGAAGATCATTTGATTTTTTTTGAAATATATAACTGTACATCTGTGTAGTTGCTCAGGGATTTGATTAATCGGTATGTATCGATACATGCTCCGTCCCCAGGTAAGGGATGCTGCGGGACTCCCATAGCCTTGCCGGCTTGAAATATCTTGAAAGTCTATGGTTTTTGCCTGTGCGCCAAATAGATCCACAGTAAACCCGCCCATTTACATGTTTCTTTTTTACCGTTGTGGTGGTATCAGTCAAACACCATCCCAAAGTAGTGGGAGTTTTTTTCCAATCCTCACAGGACTTGCGCCTCCTGATCGAGTACGTGGATGTGAATTGTGATGGTATGCTGGCTTTGACGGAGTCTGGGCAAAATCAGAAAATCAGATTGTGGGGAGTTTTTGCGCCTATCCATCAGTCCTTGCGTCCATCCGTCCATTCAGCCATTCATACATACTTGTACCGTACTTGTACATAAATACTTGTGCATACTTGTACATACATGCACACATACATAAGTAAACATGAACATTCATACATACCCATGCATACATTGACATACACATACATACACATACTTTTACATTCTTATGCAAGTTCGTGTGTACTTATACATTGTTTTACTCAGCCACATACTTTTGCATACTTACACATCCTTTGACATACTTTTCACATACTTACACATCCTTTCACATACTTTTCACATACTTACACATCCTTTGACATACTTGTACATACTTGCGCATACCTTCACATACTTGTGCATACATGTGCATACTTATACATATTTGTGCATACTTTTACATACTTACATTTTTCATACTGATACATGCTCGTACATACATATACATAATGATACACACTCATACAGACACACACGCAGACTTATACACACTCATACACTCTATCACACTCTCATACACACTCTCAGACACACTCTCATACACATTCATACGTACTCATACATACGCATACATCCTCATACCTACTCGTACATGCTCGACTCCTACATGCTCATACATATTCATATTACATATTCATACACACTTCATTAAGATCTCAGAAGTACTCATACATAATACATACAAACATACGTACGTACGTACGTACATACATACATACATGCATGCAGGCAAAAATACATACATACATACATACATGCATACATACATACATACAAACACACCCATACATACATTCATACATACAGGCATACATACATACAGGCATACACACATACATACACACATACATGCATAGATACTCATACATACTTACATACTCACATACTTACATACTTATGCTTACTTACCTATTTACGTACATGCATACATACATACAGACAGCCTGTACATACATACATACATACGTACATATGTGCATACGTACATACGTACATACGTACATACGTACATACGTACATACGTACATACATACACACATCCATACGTACGTGCATACGTACATACGTACATACGTACATACGTACATACGTACATACGTACATACGTACACACGTACATACGTGCATACGTGCACACGTACATACCTGCATACGTGTATACATGTACATGCATACGTGTACATACATAGGTGTACATACTTTCGTTTATGTACATTACGTGTACATGCATATGTGTACATACATTTTGTACGTACATACGTGTTACATACGTAGAAATTTACACGTTTACACTTACATACGTGTTCATACATACGTGTATGTACATACGTGTACATGCATACGTGTACATAGGTACTTGTGCATACATACGTGCGCATAGATACTTGTAAATAATACTTTGTACATACTTCCGCATACTCGTACATACTTGTACATGTACTTGTACATACTTGTACATACTTGTACATACTTGTACATACTTGTTCAACATATTTGGACATACTCCTGCAGCTGCATGCAAGTACATACGTGCAGATACGTGTGCATACGTGTACATACGTGCACCTACGCGAAAATCCGCGTACATACAGTGACATGTGTGTACATGTATACGTGTACATACGTGTATATATATATATATATGTACGTTTTGTACTTGTACCTACCTGCATACATACATGCATGCATACATACATGCATACATAATGCATTCATGCATACATACATTCGCACATTCATTATTTAGCTATATATTTATTTGTTTGTTTGTCTTTCTGTTTGTCTATCATATCTATGTATGTATGTATGTAATGTAATGTGATGTGATGCGATGTAATGTAATGTAATGTAGTGTAGTAATGTAATGTAATATAATGTAATGCAATGTAATGCAATGTATTGTAATGTAATATAATGTAATGTAATGTAATGCAATGTTATGCAATGTAATTTGTAGTGTAACAAAATGTATGTAATGTAATGTAATATAATGTAATGTCATGTAATGTAATTTTTACATTTTCATATATACTTCATTAAAAATGTTACATATTCATACATATTCACACCACATATTCATACATCCTTTTCCGAAAATTAGCCAAAAGATCTCAAAAGTACTCGCACATAATACATACATACGCACATACAGACGTAAATATGTACAAACCTGTACATACCTGTTCATACCTGTACATACGTACGTACGTAAATGCGTTCATACGCACGTACATACATACCTACGTACATACATACATACACACAGACATGCATACTCACATACTTACATACTTACATGTTTACTTACCTTCATACATACATGCATGCATACATACATACAGCCTGTACATACATACATACATAGATACATACAGACCTACAGACCTACATACATACATACCTACATACCTACATACCTACATACCTACATACCTACATACCTACATACCTACATACGTACATACCTACATACCTACATACCTACATACGTACATACGTACATGCAGACGCAAAGACGTACATACCTGTACATACCTGTTCATACCTGTACATACGTACATAGGTACATGTGTACATACGCACATACATACATACATACATACATACTAACATAAATACATACATACATACATACTTACATGCGTACATACGTGTACCATACGTGTACATACATACGTGTACATACAGACGTGTCACATACGTGGAAATCCACACGTTCACACGCACATACGTGCACAGTATACTGTGTAATCTGTGTACATACATACGTGTATGTACATACTTGTACATACATACGTGTACATAGATACTTGTACATAGATGCTTCGTACATACTTGCACATACTCGTACATACTTGTACATACTTGCACGTTCTTGTACATACTTGTACATACTTGTTCAACATACTTGTACATAATTCCGCAGCTGCATACAAGTACAAATGTGCAGATACGTGTGCATACGTGTACATACGTGCACCTACGTGCACATACGCGTACATACAGAGACATGTGTGTACATATATACGTGTACATACGTGTACATACGTGTTTTACGTGTACCTGCATACATGCATGCATACATACATACATGCATACATCCATGCATGCATACATACATTCGCACATACATTATCTAGCTATCTATCTGTTTGTTCCCCACATCACTGTGTGGGGTTCTTGTTTTTCGCTTGGATCCCGCCGGGGCTCCGCTCCTTCGCCTCCTCCTCCGCCGCCTCCTCCTCACTCACACTCATCATCACTCATTCCTTATCTCCCTCATTCACATCTCATCTCAATCACATCTCATCCTCACTCATCACTTGAGATGCCAATTGCGTGCATCACTCACTCACTCACTCACTCACTCTCACTCACTCACTCACTCACTGACTCACTCATTCAGACACAGTACACGAGCTGCGACGCCGTGGCCGCCACTGGCCCGCGGCTGCCTTTTGCCTGGCAGGCGCAGTACACAGTGAGAGCCTCCGCACTTCCCTTTTGCGTGGCAGGCGCACTAGCGGCGTCGTGGCCGCCGCTGGCCCGCGGCTGCCGCTGGCCCGCGGCTGCCTTTTGCCTGGCAGGCGCAATACACAGAGCGTCCGCACTTCAGCCTCCGCACTTCCCTTTTGCGTGGCAGGCGCATTACACAGAGCTTCCTGGCGGAGCTGCGGCGCGGTGGCCGCCGCTGGCCCGCGGCTGCCTTTTGCCTGGCAGGCGCAGTACACATGCAGAGCCTCCGCACTTCCCTTTTGCGTGGCAGGCGCAGTACACAGAGCTTTCTGGAGGAGTGGCCGCCGCTGGCCCGCGGCTGCCTTTTGCCTGGCAGGCGCAGTACACAGAGCGTCCGCACTTCAGCCTCCGCACTGCCCTTTTCCGTGGCAGGCGCAGTACACTGGCGGAGCTGCGGCGCGGTGGCCGCCGCTGGCCCGCGGCTGCCTTTTGCTTGGCATGCCGCAGTACACAGAGCCTCCGCACTTCCCTTTTGCGTGGCAGGCGCAGTACACAGAGCTTTCTGGAGGAGCTGCGGCGCGGTGGCGGCCGCTGGCCCGCGGCTGCCTTTTGCCCGGCAGGCGCAGTATACTCCGGACTCCGCACTTCCCTTTTGCGTGTCAGGCGCAGTACACAGAGCTTTCTGGAGGAGCTGCGGCGCCTGGCCCGCGGCTGCCGCTGGCCCGTGGCTGCCTTTTGCTTGGCAGGCGCAGTACACAGAGCGTCCGCACTTCAGCCTCCGCACTTCCCTTTTGCGTGGCAGGGGCAGTACATAGACAGAGCTTTCTGGAGGAGTGCGGCGCAGTGGCCTCCGCTGGCCCGCGGCTGCCTTTTGCTTGGCAGGCGCAGTACACAGAGCCTCCGCACTTCCCTTTTGCGTGGCAGCTGCGTCCGCATTTCCCTTTTGCGTGGCAGGCGCAGTACACAGAGCTTTCTGAGGAGCTGCGGCGCGGTGGCCGCCGCTGGCCCGCGGATCCTTTTGCCTGGCAGGCGCAGTACACAGAGCCTCCGCACTTCCCTTTTGCGTGGCAGGCGCAGTACACAGAGCTTCCTGGCGGAGCTGCGGCGCGGTGGCCGCCGCTGGCGGCCGCTGGCCCGCGGCTGCCTTTTGCACGCAGTACACAGAGACTCCGCACTTCCCTTTTGCGTGGCAGGCGCAGTACACAGAGCTTTCTGAGGAGCTGCGGCGCGGTGGCCGCCGCTGGCCCGCGGCTGCCTTTTGCCTGGCAGGCGCAGTACTCAGAGCCTCCGCACTCCTTTTGTGTGGCAGGCGCAGCTGGAGGAGCTGCGGCGCGGTGGCCGCCGCTGGCCCGCGGCTGCCTTTTGCCTGGCAGACGCAGTACACAGAACCTCTACACTTCCCTTGTGCGTGGCAGGCGCAGTACACAGAGCTTTCTGGAGGAGCTGCGGCGCGGTGGCCGCCGCTGGCGCGGCTGCCTTTGCAAGTGCAATACGCAGAGCGTCCGCACTTCAGCCTCCGCACTTCCCTTTTGCGTGGCAGGCGCAGTGTATACACAGAGCTTCCTGGCGGAGCTGTGGCGCGGTGGCCGCCGCTGGCCCGCGGCTGCCTTTTGCCTGGCAGGCCTCCGCACTTCACCTTTTGCGTGGCAGGCGCAGTACACAGAGCTTTCTGGAGGAGTGGCCGCCGCTGGCCACTTCTCACAGGTCCACTTCTCATCACCACTTATCTCTCCACTTCTCACACCACACTCATCACAGCTCCACTGCTCATCACAACTCCTCACAGCTCCACTTCTGACACGTCCACTTCTCATCACAACTCATCACAACTTATCACATCCCAACTCATCACAGCTCCACTTCTGACAGGTCCACTTCTCATCACAACTCATCACAACTTATCACATCCCAACTCATTCATCACAGTTCCACTTCTCACACCTCACTTCTCACAGCTCCCTTATCACATCACAACTTCTCATCACAACTTATCACAACTTATCCCATCACAGCTCCACTTCTCACACCCCTTCTCACACCTCACTTATCACATCAGAACTCATCAGAGCTCCACTTCTCACACCTGACATCACAAGTCCACTTCTCACACCTCACTTCTCACACCTCCCCGAAGTTCACATGAAAATCTTACATACATAAAGGCTTGACATGTGGGGTTATCCGGTCCTTTTATTTGTCTGTCTGTCTGTCTATCATATGTATGTATGTATGTATGTCTGCCTGTCTGTCTGTCTGTATGTATGTATGTATGTATGTATGTAATGTATGTATGTATGTATGTATGTATGTATGTATGTATGTATGTATGTATGTATGTATGTATGTATGTATGTATGTATGTATGTATGTATGTACTTATGTACTGTATGTATGTATGTATGTATGTATGTATGTATGTATGTATGTATGTATGTATGTATGTATGTATGTATGTATGTATGTATGTATGTATGTATGTATGTATGTATGTTGTATGTATGTTGTATGTATGTATGTATGTATGTATGTATGTATGTATGTATGTATGTATGTATGTATGTATGTATGTATGTATGTATGTATGTATGTATGTATGTATGTATGTATGTATGTATGTATGTATGTATGTATGTATGTATGTATTGTACGTATGTATGTATGTATGTATGTATGTATGTATGTATGTATGTATGTCTGTATTGTACGTATGTATGTATGAATGTTTGTATGCAATGTATGTATGTATGAAAGCATGTATGTATGTTTGTATGTATGTATGTGATTATTTATGTATGTATGCATGTACGCATGTAATGTAATGTAATGTATGTATGTATGTATGTATGTAATGTAATTTAATGTACTGTGTACTGTGTACTGCGCCTGCCACAAAAGGGAAGTGCGGAGGCTCTGTGTACTGCGCCTGCCAGGCAAAAGGCAGCCGCGGGCCAGCGGCGGCCACCGCGCCGCAGCTCCTCTAGAAAAGCTCTGTGTACTGCGCCTGCCACGCACAAGGGAAGTGCAAAGGCTCTGTGTACTGCGCCTGCCAGGCAAAAGGCAGCCGCGGGCCAGCGGCGGCCACCGCGCCGCAGCTCCTGGACAAAGCTCTATGTACTGCGCCTGCCACGCAAAAGGGAAGACATATGGCTTGAGCCAGGTATCCTCAGTATCACTTGTTCTGCCTCCGCTTATCGCTATTTTTATGGGTTTTCCTTTCCTCACACTTTGGTCACGCATCGTTGCTTGTTACACTTGAACCTGCGTGCTCAGGAGTTTCTAGAGCTGATGCGGCAGATGAGAATTGGAATATCTGCTCAGAGCCCCTTGGCAAACGTATTCGATACAAGAGGTTTGGAACAAATGTGTGTTCCAAGAAAATCCAAGAAACCCCAAAATTGGTCATTCCAGATCGGCATATGCTGAAACAACTTCATGTGTACCGAACCCTTCAATTTGAAGAGTTTCCACAGGGGACTTCCCCCTCTTATAACTGCGTCTCTATTGCCATGTCTCACTTGTCATCAGCAGTCGCAAAGATATCTAACAAATTATAGCAACCAATCTGAAAGTTATGTTTGTTTCTCTTGAGAACTACTTGACATCGACTGTGCCATCACCCCCTCTCAACCCAAATATGCCATAATGTGTAATTATCCCTTTGGCTTCTTGGTTTTGCATCCCCCTCTTTTGCTGGTCAACATCCCCATGTTTATTCTTGACGTTCTTCGCGTTGCCGGCCCCCAGGCGCCATTGATTTGTTCATGGCCTTTGACGATGATGCTAATGGCTACATTGACTATGACGAGTTTTTGCGGCAGATCTTTCCTGAGGAATACGTCAAGGACACGGGGAGGATGTCCTCTAGCTTTGGGATCTGATGGGGGATTTTGGGTGCAACTTTGGCTTCACTCACCTTTTTTTTGGCAATTGTGGAAAGGATCATTTTTCCGGGCCGAAACCATACGGTTCGCAGATGAACTCTCTACTGCTTGGAATGCCATTCAGAATGATGCAGCAAGCGACGCTATAGAGCAGTTTTGAATTGGTCCACTGGCACCCCCTTAAAGCTGAAGGCATGTCTCAAAGTGGTCATAACAATCCTCAGGAACCCCTGCCAAGTGCCCAATTCAACATAATTCAACTAATTAACTAATTTAAATTTCATATTTTTTTGAACCCGTGCCGGGGGTGTTCCTGCACCTTTGCTATTATTGACATTGCTGCTTCTCATCCCGTTTTGCAGACCAGCTGTTTGAAATATGTTGTTTACAGTGTTGGCTATGAGGTCACATTCCCGGCACCCTGGTTTTTACACCAAATACATAAATACATCCAAATGCAGCCCCTGGAAACTAATAGTCACATTGCTGGCATGTTCGACCCCTTTAGAGTCCTAGAATGAGTTTAAGAGAAAACTCTCGAGAAAAGTGTTTCAGCATTTCGTTGTCAGAATAGCCATATCTCCAAACTGCTCTGCCCCCAACTGCGAAGGCATTTCAGATTGGTTTCCATTCGTACCCAATTTATTCCAAGTGGCATTTTGGGGCATCCTCCATTTCCAGACCCATTATATATGGGGATGGATATTTTGCTGTTCACCAGGGTACCAGATTACGACCCATAGCCGCCGTGGCCATATATGTTCTCCAGATGCACCTGATATTGGGACGTCACTCTTCAGGAGACGGTGGACAGCCAGATTCTCTATTCCTATGGAGAAAAAATTCCGCAGGCCAGGACAGCATCTAAAGATTATTTACTTTTCCTTTCCAGGTTTCAGAGAATTTCCAACACGAAATGGCCAAATGGTGAAGTGTGATTCTCAAAAGAGCTTGAGACTCATGCTTGTCACTTCAACCCGCATCATTACCTCCAAAAAATCAGTGAGGAGGCTCTGTGTACTGTGCCTGCCAGGCAAAAGGCAGCCGCGGGCCAGCGGCGGCCACCGCGCCGCAGCTCCTCCAGAAAGCTCTATGTACTGCGCCTGCCACGCAGAAGGGAAGTGCGGAGGCTCTGTGTACTGCGCCTGCCAGGCTAGGCTAAAGGGAAGTGAGTAAGTGAGTGAGTGAGTGAGTGAGGATGAGTGAGTGAGGATGAGTGAGTGAGGATGAGTGAGTGAGGATGAGTGAGTGAGGATGAGTGAGTGAGGATGAGTGAGTGAGGATGAGTGAGTGAGGATGAGTGAGTGAGTGAGTGAGTGAGCGAGTGAGCGAGTGAGCGAGTGAGCGAGTGAGCGAGTGAGCGAGTGAGCGAGTGAGCGAGTGAGCGAGTGCGCGAGTGCGCGAGTGCGCGAGTGCGCGAGTGCGCGAGTGCGCGAGTGCGTGAGTGCGTGAGTGACTGAGTGCGTGAGTGCGTGAGTGAGTGACTGAGTGACTGAGTGACTGAGTGAGTGAGTGAGTGACTGAGTGACTGAGTGAGTGAGTGAGTGAGTGAGTGAGTGAGTGAGTGAGTGAGTGATGAGTGAAGATGAAGACCTAGGAGGCGGCGGAGGGCGAGGCGGAGGTAGCCCCGGCGGGATCCAAGCGAAAAACAAGAACCCCACACAGTGATGTGGGGAATAATTTGACTTACCATCCCAAGTAGTACCTGACAGACTACAGTATTATGGTGCCAACCGCTTACCGCGAACCCCAATGAGGGCAAAGCTCAAACAAAAATCCCTCATGGGACCTCCCCTATAAAATAGACAATGGTCAGTATTCTTGGATTGGTTTAAGGCTAAACTTGAAGCGGAAACGCACTTACACATTTCATGGAAATAACATGAGCATCCCACCAGGCACCGGTATCGCCTCCGGAGACCATTCTAGAGTCCCCGGAGATCATTCTGCAGCCTGCGGAGTCCAGGTTGAGGCACCAATGTTTTTTGTGGCTGGGATGTCCCCCCAAAAAATGTGGAAAATATGGTCATAAATCTTTGAAAATTGGTCGTTATAATTGTTTTCAGTGCTTGTTGGTGGTTCAAACATGATGTTTTTCATTGTTCAGCTCTACTCAGCGAGTGGGTCTATTAAGCTTTGGTGGTATAATATTGTTTCATATTATTTCGTGATTATCGTTTCAACCTCCCACAAAGATGATAATTATAATTGGCGTTGAAATGGTAATTGCTGGCCGGTGGTATCAAATATGTTGTACGTTCAACTCCAGAAATTGGATGATAATCCCTATATGTCCCAGTAGACGAACATATCATTCGATGGTGGGGGTGAAACCACCATGGTTCAACCAGATTGTGACTGTTATTGGTATGTATGTAACAACAACTGGTTGTTACCATTGTGCTCAGTGAGATGTTAGAATGTTTAACCGTTTACATAACCGTTTGTTTTTAGGGTTGACTGGTTTCAATGGTTTGCCCCCATGGTTACCATGATATCATGCAAAAACACTAGCACTAATTCTGATATTTAGTCAAGGGATTGAAACCACAGAGTAGAAAATGGCTGTCGGTATGAATTGGACCCAAATTAATTGTGATTGATATTTCGTTGCCTTCGGCAAGCCCGCCGGCCATAGAGAGGTGGCCCCAAGGGAGTTTGATGTGCATTCTAGGTGGAAGCCCGCGAGAGAGCAGAAGAGAAAAGAAGGAGAAGAAGAAGAAGAAGATAAGAAGAATGAGAAAGGAAGACGAAGACAAAACCGTAAAACGGAAGCGGCTTGTGTAGCAAGTTTTGCTGTAACAACCTATCGGCCGTATACCAAATTAGTACCGCCCCCAGCAAAGTAGCGCCATACTATGTGCGAGCCTCTGTCTTGACAGGAGACCGCTGCATGGAAGGAGACAGGGGGGAGAGATTGCCCCAAGAGGTTGACCTGCACGCTAGGTGGAAGCCTGAGAGAAGAAGAGACGAAGACAGAGCCGTAGATCAGAAGCGGCTTGAGTAGCAAGTGCCTGCTTGACCAACCAAAAACGCATACCAAATAAGTACTGGTCGATCAGTACCGTGTGCGTCCTGTGACGAGTACCTGTAGACGAGGGTAATGCTGTAGGCAATGTCATTAGCTACCAAGTACTACCAGTGTAGTACTTGGGGAAGAAGGGAGGAAGGAGTATAGAGGAGTCGGAGTAGG